CAACCCAATACTGCATAGGGGAAGGGTGGAAAGAGAAGAAGAAATGAGGGGGAGGGAGGCGAGAGATGCCTTTTGGGACAGCTTCCCCTGGCATGGGGAGCTGTGGCCTTAGGGGCCAGATTTACCTGCGACAAGGGAGGCCATCATGGAAGAGCTGGTGAAAGGAGTAATAAGCACTCCAGGTGGGAAACAAAGGTAGGGCAACCACCCACCCATAAATATAGGCAGGGCAGGCCTACATCTACATCGCCTACAGCTGGGGCCATCTGTCTAAAGGCAGGGAAGGGTGTCAGGAGAGGAGGGCCTGTTCCAGGTTAACGAGGTTAAGTGCAAAGCAGGTGATGCTGACTCTGGGGCAAGTGATAGCCTGTCTGCGTTTGCATGCCATATTTTTCCAGTGACACTTTGCAGAGTGTGTGTTTTCTGAATAGCCCCAAACAAACACCGCACCCCTCAGACATGCACATCTCTTGCATGTTTTGAAATAGGTACCGACAGCTGGAAGACGGGAAAGGGAGCAAAGACTTAGGAGACTCACTTCTTCTGCGGAGCCCATTTATACCAGGACCTCCGACAGAGAAAATCTCGCCAGAACTCAGGCTGGCTGCGTTTCCTTCCTCTTTGTCCAGCCGTTTCACCACATCCCTCTACCCTTAGGCAACTCACTTCGTGCCTTTGTGTCCTGGTTATCTTGAAGATACGGACAAATAATGCCACCTACCTCACAGAAAAATATTTAGAGTTCCTCTTAGGATTTTCTGAAGTTTTTATGCTGAATTTCCTCTGCTTCTGCCTTCACTTTTGAAGAACACAAGGGTTTATATTGCAATGCCGATGCACAGGTATAGACGTGTATTTCCTACAAGTACCGTATTGCCTGTCAGTTTGTAAATCTGACCCCTTGAGAGCCTAAGATACTTCAAATGCTTTATTTTTATTTCTTGTCTTTAAGGCACTTTCCAGTCTACACCTCATGCATACTGGGAGATACCAGCATGTAGAAAAGATGATGATAAATGTCATGACTCCAGGAAGTGGTGCTTTAAAAACATTAGTCACTTTGGATAAAGTTGACAAAGAGGGCAGCTCCGGAGGATTTGGAGGATAGGTAAAGAAGGGAAATTGGCAGAGCTCAAACTAGGGCCAGGCTGTTGGGTAGAGTTGTCCAGGCTGCCCTTGCAGAGCTCTCCCCCGTCCAAGCGCGGTGTTCCTGGTGCGAGATTAAGGGAAAAGTCTGGGGTTGTTCTGCCACTGAATTTCCCAAAAAGGAGACACACAGGGGCGCCAAAGACTTAGGAAAAGAAACCAAAGCCTGAGCCTTTTTCTGCGTAGCTCCTCTCTGGGCAGGCTCCTCACCCTGAGCATTCGGGCAGCGGGAAGCGCTAGGCTCCGGAGCGGGTAGTGTTAAGGGAGCAGCTTATCAGCCCGGGCCTGATTTCATTTGCAAAAGCGCTGGGGCTTCGCAATCGCTTAAACTTGGCTGGTGTAAACAGGCTAGGTGGCTGCTGGCTGCTAATAACCCTGCGCGGCTCCCAAAGGGAGCCCTAAGGAGCTGCTGGCGAAGGAGGGGTGGTGCGCGCTGAGGGGTGGGGGGCCCGACCCCCGTGGGAGGCCGAGGCACCGCTTCGTCCTTCTCGCGCGCCACTCGCAAGCACGGCCCCCAAACTTGCTCTGAACAAATTTCCCGGCTGAATTGGGAAATGCTCCATCGGATCAGTATGGTAATACCACCCTTTGGAAAATAAAAAGTTTGGGGTCCGGTGTCTGAGTAACTGTTTGCTTTCCCGGGTGTGATGATGATGGTCTGAATCTCTGTCCGGTCCGTTTGTCCTTACGAGCTGAATATGGCGTGGTAGTGTCTGCAGCTGCTGTAATGGACACCAAGGTGAAAATCCCCAGGACAGCTGTAACGTGGGTGCATGTCAGCCGTAACCTCCGTCTTCCAACCGCACCCTCGTTTCCCTCTGACATAGGGAGGAGGCTGGCGTAAGAGCGATTACATCAGCTCTTGACTGCCATTAGATTATACGTATAGCGGGTTGGTATTCCTTCAGTGGCTATATGGAACAATTATACAGGATTATCCAGCGCATGGCCTGCTCTTTCACTCACTTCCAGAGGTTTTACTCCATAGCTGGTCAGGGAGGCAGGCAGGACATGTTGGTCTAAAACACCGCATAAACACAACTGAGCCAAGCAAACTAGACCCATAGTATAGGCTGCCATGGAAAAAAACCCCATGCTGTTCACTACTTTGGTTTGTTTTGCTCTCCACCAAGTGATATATCTTAGTGACAAGTTGCTCTAGCCATACAGCATTGCTTTTAATACCATAAAGTGTCGTGGGGTGCAGGCATGTGCTAGGACAATGGCTAGAGCTGATGTTAAAGGCTAAATGTATTGCAGCTGCATGCAAGCTGGGCTAGATTAAAGACTACAGCTTTGGAAGTTTCTTGTTAAAAAAAAAAAAATCACTTAGAGTTTTCTTCTGCAGATTAATATGGTTTTGGACATCAGAGCCTCCAACAGTCATTTTCCAGTAATACGGCTTTTTGTAATTATTCGACACTTTAAAATATATGCCTTGCAGACAGCAGCTCTAATGTTAGCATAGACATATCAAAGTAGATTTTATTTAAACTCTGCTGTGGGTAATACCAGGCTTTGTTTTTTAAACATGTCTTGGAATTATTAGGGTGTTTTATTCGATGTACGAGAGAATGAAATTCCACTTCCAATATATCATATCATGGTGGGATGGATGCAGCACCAAAGTGTCATTAGAGAAGCTGAGAGTTTCAAACACGGGTGCCCAAGTTTAGCTATCAAAGAGCACAGTTAGGCACCTGACTGGGAATGACCTGTTTTATAGAGATCCTGATCCCCTGCTGCTCCTCTGAATGTTGCTTTCCTGGCTGTGGGACACGTTGTCACCAGCAGCAGGAGGAGCGGGTACTGGTCTGGTAGTTAGTTCAGTCCCAGTTCTTGGTTTCCTTTCCTTCCCTTCCCTTTCCTTCCCTTGATCTCCAGCAAACCAGCTGCAAGACCTTGGGGGAATTCCTTATCTTCCCCTTGCATCACTTTACTTATCTGTAAAGCAGATAAACTAATAACACTGCACCTCTCGAGGGTTTGTTGAAGCTTATTATACAGTAGCGAGTGCTTTGAGAGGGAAGTCATTATAAAAACGACAGTGTTAATATGACATGAAGGTAACATGAAGGAGCCCCATTCTGCTCCATGCAAGTCAGTGGAGCTCTGTTATTTGCTTTAGCAGAAGTGGGGATTTGGCCTACGCTTAAATGACTTGCATTTGTTTTTCTTCTCAAACGCTAATATATAGTTAAGAGATAGCATTACAAGGAAAGCTCATTCCTGCCTATGTGTAAATATTTAGCAGCTGAATAGGCGTTATTCAGCAGGGCACGGTTTCTGCTTCTCCACAGTTTCTAAGGATGTTAGTACAGACTCATTCTAAGCTGCTACAGATCAGAAGATACACCGAAATTACCAGATGAAAATCCTTCCCATATAAGTGTACACATACAGAACTTATTTTACTGGGCAATTAAATGTGTAAGATAAATATCCCTGGGGGAGGAGGGTTGTTTGAGGTTTTATGGCATATCTTCTTATGGGCTCAGTTTCGAAATCTTAATCCAAGCAAAACTCCCCGTGCACAGACTTAGCGCTAGAGCGTAACTTCGTGTTTCGTATTCGGGCTATGCGCAGCTGGGTGGATAAGTGCAGTTGCATCAGTGGATTTTAGGGCAGGGGGGGAGTGAAGTCAGTGAAGCTTCGCCTGAAGAAAAGCAGCCCTTCCTAGAACATTTATATTAGCAATAACGCTTCGGTCAGGCAGGTCATGTTGAAGGACCTCAGGCAGCATACTGTTTTCTAGGTTTCATCTAACAATTTAATTGATGAAAAGTTAAAAAGAAATGCCAAATATAACTTATTTGTAATTATTTTGGGGTGGCATGGTCAGTAAAACTGCAGTCTACTGCAGCTATGAAATTGTTAGCAAAATAGCTGCCTGTGTTTCAAATGCAAAAGCTTTTTTGTAGGACGTGAGCAGTCAGGATTGCCCAGAAAATACTCCAGTTTTGTGCCCGAGCTGCAAATGCAACTATTTTCTTAAAACTGGGTGGTTTTTTTTCTGTTTAGGAAATGAAATGTACAACAGAAAAAGTGGCCAGGTTGGAGTAAACAATCAGATCTTGACATGCTTAGAGCGGATAGATCTTTTCCTAATGACAAAAGTGCTTGGTGGCTTTAGTGTGGATTTATTGTGCTTTACAAAAAAAGACAAATTCCTCACAAACGTTTGTATTTGAGAGCGTACAACTGCTCCCTGAGTAATCCAAAAAAGCTGAAGCCCAGAGTTTTACCCCGCCGATGCTTTTATTCATAGGGATGATCTTTTTATGAGCTCGTTTTCTGGAGATGGCAATGACAGTACCTAGCCCTAAAGGGCCTAGGTTGAGAAAGAGGTAGCCGGTGAAGCCCAATGTACCTGTTACATTTCCCCAGGACGTCTCCAGCATGGGAATTTGAGCCATGTGGCTGCTCATGCAAACACCGACTAGTCCTCAGTAGCTGGATTGCGTTGGTACCGCAGGTTTAGCTCTCAATTACTTCCCGGTTTTGCTTGTTTAGTTGCTTTAGCGGAGTTAGTTTAGCGAGTAAATATTAAAGGAGCAGGCGAGACCCACGTGGTCCTTGGAAAAACTTTGCTTTTTCTCCCCGTCCCTCCCTCAAAAGTTCTCGTCTTGCTTCCAGAAAGTGGCACTCAGACACCCCTCCTGCCCCTTCATTTGTCATTGAAAAAAAATAGCTATTTATATGCAGAGCTGTCTTCCAAACTGATCAGCCCCCTGACAACGCTCTGGGGCTTCAAAGCGCCGGGCCGGGGGCCCCAGCAGCATCCTCATCTTCCTCCTCCCGCAGGCGGGACGCCCCGCACCCCATCCAAAGCCGTGTCCCGGAGCAAAGCCGCGATGGGGGGGGAGCGGGAGGGGGCAGGAGAGGGAAGGGGCATTGGTTTCTTGAGGTCCCGGGAGCGGCTGGAAGCGACCTGGTGCGCTGGGTGAGCTTCTCTCCCGTGGGAAACGGGCTTGAAGGGGAAAGAAAAAAAAAAACAAACAAACAACAACACAACTCTGCTAAAATGAGTAGCCGGGAGACAGACTGGCAGGCCCGTCGCAGGTGGAAGCGGGCGGATTTCTTCTCTTACCCTTTCCCTCCTCTCCTGCCCACCAGCCCAGGTCGCCCACGGAAAGGACTTCCCCGGGTCCGCCGGGGAGAGGGTCGGGGCTGCTCCAGCCCGGGAGCCGGCTCCCCCGCAGCAGGGCATGGAAACAAGACACAAACCCCCAAATCAACCGAGGAAAAACCTCTCCGCTAACACCCGAGACGGAGCGCCCCCCCCCCCTTCTCCGGCACCGGCCTCCCAAAACTCATTGAATCACTTTGGACCGCGAATTGCGAGGCGAGGACGAGCGGGGCGTGTCTATTTTCTTCTTCTTCTTTTTTTTTTTTTTTCCCTTTTTGTCTTTGTTTTGTAGGGTTTGGGATGTTGGGGTTTTTTAATGTCTTGCCGGTTTTTGCCTCTTTCCTTCTGCTCCCCTCTCTGCCCAAAGGTGCGCCCGGCAAGACGCGCCTCATCCCGGGGCCAGCCGCCGCACCGCTTCCCCCCGCCCCCGTAAAGCCGAGGCAGACCCACACCAACCTGAACCTCTCCTTTCTCCCTCCGAAAACACCGCCGCCAGGAGTTCAGCCTGGGCAGAGGGCGGGGGAGGCTCCCTCCCGACCCCGCCGGGGAGCAAGCCCACCCCGCGTCCCCCGCCGAGCCACCGCCCCAGCGCGGCGCGGAGCTGCGCCTCTGCCGGCCCTGGCGCTGGCTGGGCTGCAAGGCGCCCCAACGGCCGCGG